AAAAAAAAAAAAAGAAAATGGAGGGTAATATAGAAACACCACTGCTTGCATCATTATTCTTCTTCTCTTCAGCATTCGCCATGTCATTATCTTATCAAATACACGCTGTATCTCTAACTGTGCGCTCTATGGGTCCAACAAAAAATTGGCACTTTTTCCGCACTGCACCTACATACAGTTAGGAGAGTGATTACCCTTTTCTTCCCCGTGTTCCTGAGTATTATTCAGGTGCATTGAACGGAGGTGATTTTCGTAATCCTCCAATCGCTGAATAAAGGATAAGTTGAGAGATATACAAGGACGTTTCCTATACACATTTTCGAAGGCAGTTCGGAATGATTGGCCCTCGGAAGCCATCATGTATGCAATAACGATGGCTGCACTACGAGATATTCCTCGACGGCAGTGAACCAAAACTCTCCCATTATGGGTTGCATTGCGAATAAACTCAAAAGCCTCATCAAAGTGTTGTTCTAACTCCTCATTAAGGCTATCACTAAGAGGTATACATTTACTTTTAACAAAATTTATAGACTCCATACGATGAAGTTCTTCTTCAGGTATTAACTCACGTGCGACATTTAATACATGTGTAATGCGGTGTTGACGGAGCAACTCTTCATTCGCAGCATCACGCCACGATCCAATAGAAACCATATCATTGATGTCAGTTATAGGGTAACATTGGGCCGCATTGCATACCTCATCATCTTCGTTCTCTTTACATACTTCTGAATGTCGTTCTACAAGCTCCAAATTGAACGCAGGAAGACGATTTTTGGCAATCTTTTCCCTGCAACGTGACATCATCAGCAACCAGAGACACAGACGAGTATTAAATAATAAAATAAAATAAATAAATAATAATAATAATAAAAAACCAGAAAAAAAGAAACCTACAAAAGACAACGTAACGCAAACCTGTGCTTCCTGTCGTTCTTTTTCTCTAAATTAAATCTTAACCTTGGCAATGGAAGGAAATATAGCACGTCGAACGAAAAAAAAAATCTACCTTGATTATTCCCTTCGTTTTCTACCCGCAGGTATTATTGATCGTCTTTTTTTTTCTTTTTCTTTTTCCTCTGTTAGAGCGGTTTTCCTAGAAAGAAAACCTTCCGAAATATACAATGCAATGACTAAAATCCACGACACAGAGGGCCTTGTAAAGTGTTTACTAAAGGGTAATAAGGGATTAAGTCTATCCAATGATAAATATAAATAATGTATACCCCCCGGTATGTGCGATTCGGTGGGTATGCAAATAAATATTATAATGGATAACAATCAACCTATATTGGATGTTTCCAGAGTGTGATGGGAAAGTGTCAGTTTTTTTTTTTTTTTTTTTTTTTTTTTTTTTTTTTTTTTTTTTTTTTTTTTTTTTTTTTTTTACTGTTATTCTTCTTCTCCTTTTCCTGAATTCCCCTTTACTCTATACTTTACTTCCCACAGTCTCTTATGATACTATACAATCCCTACGTGTCAGCACTCTGGAACGAAATCACTTTCCACAAACACAAACACAAACACACCACACCCCCTCAACCCACACAGACAAGAAAAAAGCAACGAAAAAAAAGTTCGCCTTTAATAAGTTGTGTTTTCTTTGTCACCCTACAATCTGGTGTGAGCTCTACAAGGCATAGACATAGAGAGAGAGTGAAAGAGAAAGAAAGAGAAAAGTAATAAAAAAGGGAAAAAAAATAAAAGGGAAATAAGATGGAAGGAACAAGAGAGACAGAGAGAAACAAGAAAAAAAAAAAACATTTTGACTCAGTAGACATCAATATTTCCATTAACAGTGTAGAGGGACGACTCCGCACTTGTTTTTCTTCTCTTCTTTTTAACTGACATGCCCAAGAATTATAGAAAAAAAACAACAAGATCATAGCATCTTGACATCACCCGAGGGGTATGGCAAGACGAACTCCATCTGCAACAAATTGCGTCCATTCGTCAGTCAGGTTATTCTCTGCATTCACCTTAGATCCATCTTCATTTTTTTGCTCATCTTCATCCATAAGAGCTGCTGCGTTTAGAAGTTGCGTCTCCACTTCTGCAAGTCGTTGGGCGCGTCTTTCAGCCACATTATATGCTGAAACCGATTTTGTTGGTAATGGTACTGGTGCTGGTATTGCTGCTAAAGGCGCTGCCTTAATAACATTACAGTGTTCACACTGTGGAATCTGCGTTGTTCGGCTGTATTCCCCACAACTACAACACCGCCATGGTGAATACGGTAATGGAGTGGAGTCCACAGACCTCCGCACGCCGCAGTCGGGACGTTGACAAACATCATTCCAGCCGCTGTTTATGGTTAAACAAGTCACACAACGCCATGCATGAACTTCCGTCTCTGGGATAGCAGGATGTAGCGAAAGACAACGATGGCAATGGAATCCATGCACCGCCCTTTCACCGCACTTCACACACGACCACGTGGCATGCCGGTCAAACAACACTGGATCGAGTCGAATCGTACCGCAGTTCCCGCATGTCTCTGTCGTCTCTGGTGGTTGTGTTTGCCCCATCACTGTTATTAGTGCACCATCGCTATCGCGGATGTGTTGATGGCGGCCGCAGGAATGACACCGCCACGGCCAGTCGGGCTGCAGCGCCACGAACTGCCGAAGAACTGTCAAAGAGTGAGAGCAGTGTTGACAAACAGTCCCAGTAGTAGTAGTAGTAGTAGTAGTAATAGTGTCAAGTTCCGAACTATCATTATTACTATTATTATTACTATCAACACCAGTAATTGTTCTTGTTGTTCTTGTTGTTTCCGTACTGGTGAGGGAGTGACAGAGTGGACAACGTAGGAGTCGACGTTGCCAGGCTGCAGTCTCACGCGGGTGAGGGTCACCACACGATAAACAAGAAGAACATGAAAGGGAAGAAGACGAAGAAAAACAACCAGAATGACTCTCTGTTCTTTCTCTTGTTCCACGTGGAGAAAGCGTCCAGGGTTGTTTACAGTTAAGACACTGACAACATGCGTGTTGACGATGCACACTACATGCGTAGCACCAGCGTCTAAAAGGAGAGTTCATCTCTCCACAGCCACACTTCCAATCAAAATAACTTACCGACCAGCCATTACCAACAGTACCACAATCAATACATCCCTGTGTTGTTTCTGTACCATCACAAACCAAAGGTGAGTAAGATGAACACAAGTTGCAGTACCAAATCAGAGAATTTGATTGACTCTTTGCGGACGGGTCATTTATTTCATTTTCTCTGGCACGTGCTTGGGAGTTAGGATGGGGTTGACGACATCTTAAACAAATATTAACGTAATCCCCAGATGCAGAGACCCATGAACAATGAGGACATATCCACTGGTGCTCTACTAAATCCCGTGAAACACAACCAATACAAGAAATACTTTTTGGACGTGTAGGGTTCATATATTGACATCCACACTGCCAATATTCCACTGGATTCTCAATTAAACTCTTCTGAATCGATAAGGTTAGTTCCTTATTTGGTAAAATATCTTGCATCGTTAAACGCAGAGGCCAACCAATGAATGTTACCCACCTTGACAACTCATTAGTATAACGATGCAATGAAGAAGATGATTGTACAACTTCTTCAAGTATCTTTTTTATACGAGGACTCAAATTTAAAACTCCATAATGAGCAGCAAATCGGTGACATTTATGGTTTTTCACAGCATTGTACATTTCAGTACCAATATTTTTGCGTGAACTAAGAAGAACCTCCAATTCTTCAAAATCAAAGTAACCTCGAGATTGTTTTCCCTCAGTTTCCTCTTCACCACAGAGAAGCATTTCTGTTACAGCGGCCAAAGTACAAACATCTAAAAGTCCATGTATGGGACCAAAATGTAGACGTTTACATTTAGCTAACATACTATCAACACCTGTATCACGAAGAATCCTTAAAACATCATATGCAAGAAAGGAATTATTTCCAATTATTACATTTTTACTCTCATTTCGGTAATGTGTATGAAACACACGCATTACAGCTAAAATAGCTTCTCGAAATCTTTCACCTTCTGCGTTATCGTTTTTAGAAAAAACGCAGACATTCATAAAAAGAGTAGCAGGTCGAGTCATTATTGCATCTATTTCACTTCCTTGCCATTTCTGCTGACGAAATAATCTTGAAAATGCAAACATCGCATACGCAAGCGTAGAAGACCACCGTTCATCACGTTCTATTCCAGATTCACGGCGACCTGGTATAGTTATATAATATTCAAAGACCTCTGCATCATTAAGTAATGCGGTACCATAAGTTGGCATAACAAGTTCTTCACCATCTACTATAGCACGAAAAAGTTCCGCATATTGTAAAAGACGGTATCGTTCCACGTAAAACTTTCGTAGTTTACGTACAAAAACAGGAGGCATACGAGTTATAACAATAGTTTCATCTAATAATGGTAAAAGCCTTTGTAAACGCGCAACATCGACGTAGTAGTCATGTATAATAGATAAAAGTTCTCTATGACCTTCGTCAAAAAAACCTACATCTGCAAAAACAGCATTAGCAGAAAGTGCAAAGAATACCTGATGCCAGTAGTGTAATAACTCACTTGGTTCAGTTGGTTTTCCCTGTTCAATAGTTGCCCTCCAAGCAAAGGGAGGGAGAGAACGTAACGCAGTAATATTACCCGCTTCCACCAAACCTGTAGACTCTACATTGTCACCCCAAAGCCATGATAAATAATCACGATGAACCGATGGTACAAGAAATCGTACAATCTCTTGTCGTACACGATTATCATTTAATGCCCCACGTCGGCGTAACAATTGCAGAAGAGGCACAAGGAGAGGACGATTGGCATTATTCAAAAGTGCCTCTGGTGACTGCTGCACAAGCTCCGCGCTTGTTGTGAGTGCAGTTTGGGAAAGCTTGTCATCGTGGAAGTCCGCGTGCACGATGAGACTCACATCGTCTCCCGCGCCACTCGCACCATCAACACGTGCCCGCGCAAACCGCCTCAAGAAGAAGGGGCGTTTTCCGGCTCCCAGCGGCTTTCTCAGCATGGGACCCCCTTCCTGGCAAGAATAAATAAATAGAAAGAAAAAATAAAAGAGAGAAAGTCAAATAAAATAAAGTAAACCAAATATATATATATATATATATATATATATATATATATATATATATATAAAGGAAAAAGAGCAAATAGTATCAGAAAGACCATAAATGAGTAAAAAAGAAAAAAAGCCTTTTTTTTCTTCTTTTGTTTTGGGAGCCATATAGTAGAAAAACCAACTTGTCAGGTTTCTCACTCTTTTCTTTCGTCGTACAAGTAAAGTAAAATGTTTCCTAGGGAAGATTCAACCACCTCCCCTTTCTCCATTTTTTCTCTTACTTCTTGTCTGGTGCAACGATAAAGTAACAACCAAAAAAAATAATAATAATAATAATAATAGTCATAAGGGTGCTTCACCTTGAATGGAAGGTAGTGTGTAGAGAGATATTTTACAACGATAATTCACGATAAAACGTGTGTAATGTATATGTACACAAAGAAAAATAAAATAAAATAACAAAAATAAGACATCATCTATACCCATGTAGTCTTCAAAACGAAGAATGGAAAGATATCACATAGGAAATTCAATTGCTCTTGTTAAGTCCTATAATATGTTCACCTCGTTTCCTATTTAGTTCATCACGATATTGTTGTTGTCTATAATGGACATGTTGCTCCATCTTAAGACTGTTGACTGAAGGGGATAAAGCAGATGGTCGATTTTGCATCATTGACGGGGTTGATGGCGCTCCCAGCATGTGATATCTACTCCACTTGCTAGAAACAGCATCCGTAGTAGGAGTAGGAGTAGAAGTAGAAGCAAGATTTCGCTTATGATCTTCCCATGCGGCTAACCAAGCTTGTCTTGACTGTTTAGCACGTGTCTCTGAAGTTTCCTCCCTCTCTCTGAAACGTCGCTGTGGAACTTTTTCTCGCTGCAGATGTTCTCTTTCTTCTTTTTTTTCTTCGTCGTCGGATGAAGCAACCTCAATCATTGGTAGTTGCTCACTCAGAGGTTCTTGGAAAGTATCGGTAAGAATGTGTTGCATCGTTGGACCATATATATGAACAAGTTCTTCTTCATATTGTGCCAATCGACGTCGTCTCTTATCAAGGAGTTGTTCGTCCAATGCCGTTTTTAACATGCATTGCTCCCGGCGACGATCCTCCCGTAATCGCAAGTCTTGCAGTGAAAGTACTAAATCTTGGGCACTCCGTGCATACCGTAGGATATCATCAATACCATTTTCACCACGGGGTAATATTCCACGTTTAAATAATTCATAATTATGCTCAGCACGATTTCCATAATTTGGGTTAGCATTTCTTTCCACATCGTAATGTTCCGCCCAAGGTGGTGTTAAAGCAGTTTTCTTTTTCTTTGGGATAGGTGCAGTTTCATATAATAAAGGGTCTCTATTATTAAAATAAGAATGTTGATCTTCATTAGCCGGTACAGGTGAAACACTATTAGGGCAACCTCTCGGCCTAGGTGGACCTACAATGGGACGCCACACTTTAAAACGTTCTTCATCAGGAATATCATCGGCTTCAGAGATATCATTGATTAGCTCTCTTTGATCTTCTTGTTGATCTTCATCATCTCTTGCATCTAGTATATCGTCTTCATATTTTCCTTTTCCAAACCAAAAGAGTCCATACATCTTATCGGCATCACGCGTATATGAATTTGGCTTTGATGCTCGGCCACGAATAGCGAACTGCTCACGAATGCGACCAACTCTATCTTGGAGACGATGGGCAACGTATTGAGCCTCATCAATTTCCCGATGTCGTTGCTCTGCTAAGGTCTGTTTTTCCTCCCTTGTTAACTGATTGTCATCCTTTAATGAGGAGAGCTGCATAGACCGCAAGAGGTCAAACTCCATCCCGTTCACAGTATTCATGAGTTTGTTTCTTTGTTTGTTTATAATCCTTCAAAATACAGACGGTACAAAATAAAATATAGGGAGAGATTTTCTTCAATTAGAAAATCTCTCTGCGGTGTCCCCTGCTTTTTTTTCTTTTTTTTCTTCCTCTTCTTTACTCTTCTGAACTTTTCTTCACTTTGCCAATAATTATATTTTGCTTTCTTTTTTGTGAAAAGAAAACTACAATAAAAAAAAAAAAAAATCAAGACCAAAAAGAATTGGGGTGGCAACAAAATCATTTCTTTATTTAAAAGAGGGAAGAAATACAAGATTTCTCTCTTATTCTTGATTTCAATAAAGAAAAACTAAAGGAGGAGAACAAATATAACAACATCAAAAAAAAAAGAAAACAAAAAAAAAAAACATGGTGTGCTTCACCACCACCACAACCACCACTTTTTCCTGGTGTGTTCTTTCTTTTTTTTTTTTTTTTTTCTGGCCCTTTCACTCCTTCACTCTCAATAGTGTCCCTCGCATTCTCAGTCAGAATCATCCCACTCACTGCGCTCTGTTGGCTTGGCTTCGACTCGTTTATCATACACGTAGTCTGGGTCTCCAGGCCGTACAATCTTTTCCATAAACTTCTCATCCATTTTTGCTTTGAATTCCTGCAATGTGACATCATCAGCATCATTTAAATCTACATTATCCATGGCCGCATCCGGGTCACGATAGAGTAATCCAACATCAGCTTTATTTCCACCACGAGTAGACGTCTCGGCAGTAGTAGAAAAACTCCTACTATCTATTTCATTATTCTTTCCAGTGGTTGTTTCACTTAATTTTACCTCTGGAACAGAGTTCTTATGCTGGTATTCCTGATCAGCATGATTAGGATGATAGGAAGACGACATACCCTCACTAGAGGATTTGTTCTTATTCCCACCATCTACAACTCCCTTCATAAGACTCTGCAATCGAAGCAGATAAGTACGAAACTGTTCTTCACTTAACAATGCACCATGCGTGCGTGCAAGTCGTTTCGCAAGTGGCGCCGTTGGAGCATCTTCATGTAATATACCTACAAGATGAATATGTTGACATCGCATCTTTCCACACCACGTATACAAAATGTCTATTTGTAGTGGATGAGATCGCAACATAACACTTCTAAGAGATGGAGCACCATCAGAACAAGTATCGTGTTGCCACCATTGAGATGGTGTCATGGCATCCAGCAATGGTCGTTCTATGAGATCATCGACGAGTTCGTCTACAGTAAGAGTTTTTTGGCCTAGTGACGCAAGTTCCTCTAAACGGCCTTCAACGAAACGAGATAACTTCTGACTTGGTATAGTCTTTGAAAGCATAGCAGCGCATGTTTGCAAGGCGTCCGCATACTCTGAGACTGAACACCCTGTAGGATAAAAGCTACGCGTTAATTCTGCAGCCTCCATTACACTTTCTATATTGGATTCCCTCAAATGTTGACGTAGTGCCTTGTAGCGCTCGGACATCTCTCGAAACCACTGCGTGTTTTCCAAAAGTGAGGGTCGTGTAGCGACTTGAAGATCCTCGCTTCTGCATACACATCGAGTACGCAGTGCTAGTTCCCGAAACGCTGTTGTTGGTACATCTGTGTGCTTTGCATAGAGGTGGTACACAAGAACCCAAAGTTCAAGACCCAAGTCTTGGAGGGATGACATCTGAACCTCTCTTTTCTCTCTCCCTCTCTATCTCTCTCTCTATATATATCCCCCACCCACACAGAATCCTACCTACAATAATAAGTCAAGAAAAAGAGAGAATAACAACAATAACAAAGAAAGAAAAGAAAAAAAAAAGGTAAAAAAAAAAAAAAAAGAAGCATGCAAATTTAATTATTATTTTATTTTTTTTTTTCTTTCTTATTGCAATTTTATCACATAGGAACAAAGAGAATAGAAGAAGCCAACCAAAACCGCAATAACCGAGAAACGGAAACACAAGCAGAAAGTGATGACAAATTAATGGAGGTAATAATACAGCCGTTACCTCGCCTGACGCCGTTGTCGCTTTCTTCCCCGTCGTTCATATGTATTGTTCGCCGCCCCACGAATCACCGGAGGATCCAACCAAGATAACATCTTCAACCGCACTTGCTCCCGCTGGCGAACACCCTCATGGTGACTTGCGGCCCGTCGGTTGGCGTCAATACGTGCGAGTGTCATGGCCGTACTTGCGACGAGACGCATTGCCTTTGGCCGCAGCTGCGGTGGGTGATTCACAACAAAGTCAGAGTTACTGAGAAAGCCTGTGGTACGAAGAGCGATGCCAGTATTCGACGCGCGTGTACTACCGAGTTTTGCAAGCTGCGCAGGATCCATACGTGCGAGTTGTTGGATACCACCAGCAATGGCGAAGAGCTGCGAGGTAATGCCTGTACCGAGAAAAGCACAGAGATTCGGGCAAATAAGAGGCATAGATCGTTGGATGTACTCCAGAAATGTCTGCTTTGCCGCTTCTAGTGTTTCAATCTCCTGACAGGCCTCCAGCACGCGATGGAGCTCCGCCTCGGACAATTCCCGCCCGGCTGTTGTGGAAGCACAGGCAATTACCACTGCGGTGAGTTGCGATGGTGCCAACTCGTCTAGTTGATCAATCACAACAGAGAGATCCATGTTATTCTGGATAAGACGTACAACACGAGCGTAGAGAACGCCATCAGAGAAAAACATCGCTAACTCAGGGAATCGTTGATTATAGTGTGCCCGTAAATATACAACCGCCTTGCTCTTTTCTACTTCTATACGCAATACAAGTGCGCTAGAATCAATAACAAACTGATGTTCGGGATCATCTGGTAAAATAGTGTTTTTTACCTCTTCTTGTTTACTGTAATCACTTAACTTTTGCAACATCTGGCTCATATGCTCCGAGCGCAAAAGAACTGTTACTTCCTTTACACTGTCGTAACGAAGTGCATCATCGTCAGATGTTATGGTCTTAGCTGCTGCCAACGTTTCATCGGCGTACGGGTCTGCGGCGTCGTCCCTGGCGCCATCCCGATCCTGCTGATGTTGATCGCCGAACTCATCCCATCCCTCTTCGTTGTAGTCCATTATCGGGCTCGACTTCAGAAAAGAAGGAGGAGAAGAAAAAAAAAAAAAAACAGAATTGAAGAATGGAAAAAAAAGAAAAAAAAAAAAACAAATCCCAATTAGATAGAAAATTCAAAAAAAAAAAAAAATCTTGTATTATTATTACTATTATTCCTCGACTCAATAGAATAATCTTTTTTTTTTCTTCTTCTTCGCTTAAACCAAGAATAGAAACAGAGAAAAAGAGAAAAATGGCATCAATAGTTATCATCACAGCTATTCCATCCACTACTAAGTGAACCCTCTCTGTAGCTTTCTTCGTACCAAAGATCCCCTTGTCGCCTCTTATAGTGTCGTTCATCATCATAATCAGTGTACTCACTGTCAACAAAAGAACTATTGTTTTCACTCGGTTCTTCTGGATACTCATTTCCCGAAAAATCTGCAGCATTACTGTCATATTCATCATCCTTGCGATGATCAGGATAAAGATATAACTCTGGTTCGCAACCATTGTCTTCTTCAAGTAGAAAACAAGTTTGTCCATGATCACGCAACATTTCGTAAAGTAAAGCTGCATCCTCTGGACTAGTATCATGATTACAAACCTCACCATCGTGAGGTTGCATTCCCATAGAAAGAATAAAATCTGGTACTATTTCATCTTGATCTCGTTTTCGTTTAATACGGTGACTGACAAATTTACTTCCATATACAAACGCTTTATTATCATTATGGATGGCAACATCATTTTCTTCTTCGTCACTATCATTGGGTTTCGTGACAACCAAGTCATCAAAACCAAACTCATCTTCTTCTTCTTCTTCTTCTTTCATTTCCATCTCTACTTTCTCCTTCTTCTGTTCACTTTCATTATCATCAACATGTCTGCTATCCAGAACGTAGAGAGACCATACATTTGAATCCTCTAAAGCCACCGCCCCACCAACAGGATCTCCACTCTCTTTTTTCTCTGGTGCTCCGGTATCAGTTTGAGATGATCCTCCAGCCGTGCAATCCATCACCACACAACCTCGCAAATCCCACACACGCTCTATAGAAAGCACAGGTGTGGGTGAAGAAACAGTTGTCCTGCGCGCAGACTGCGTCTCTTGCTCACTGCTGATGAAATCACCCGCTTTGTTAAGAAGACGAAAATGTAGTGTACAGGGTTGTTGTCCTAACTCTGTGAGAGAGGGAGTATCCGGTATATTATGAGAGAGTGATCCCTTCTCGTCTCTCATACTCCCACTAACATCCATACTCTTTCCATCACCAATACGAACTCTCAATAATGAAGGGGCAACATCCTTGTCGTCTCCGTCATTATCAAAACGTAATCTCTTCACACGCATATACACACCACGTGAACCCAGCTTCTTGCCATTGCCACGTTCCATCTCATCTTGTCCAGTGTTTTCGCTTTTCCACATTATACTATGTGCATCACACACACAAACACACACTATCACCAATGTTCAGATAAGAATAGTAAAAAAAAAAAGAGAGAAGGTGGGAAGAGAAAAAAAAAAATAATTTTTTTTTCCTTTCAAGATAATAATGGTTTTCATTAGCATTCACATACACATATATATATATATATTTTACACACATAGATACTCATATATATATATATAGTTTTCAAAAAAGAAAAAGAAATCCATTGTTTCTTATTCGATGCAAGCATTTCATTGTTTACCTTTTCTTTTTTTTGGTTTCCTTCAGCATGGAGAGAGAGACCCTGCACTTTTATTTTTTTTTTCTTTTGCAGCTCCTTTTCTTTTCGAATTTATTATAACTTCAAATGCCCCTTTTAATCCACTCCCTTAACATTTTATCCACCAAATAAAAAACATGGACAATGACGTCCGAGCAATAAGTAAATCAGAATAATTCTTGGCTTTACTTCCACCATATATATAAAAAAAAAAAAAAAAAC